TGCATATATATGTATTTTTAAAATATAGATCACATATTGATCCTAAGTTTATTTCCAGATATTTTATGTATGTTTTTATGTTTTATGTAGTTTGGCACTAATTTGAGATAGGCTTCCTATTTTCATTTTTAATTGGATACAGTTATAGAAAAAACTGTTGACCTTTGGTAATTGATAAAATATCTAGCTGTTTTATCAAATTCTCTTATTATGCCATGGTTGTCTTTTGGGAAGTTCTCTTGGATTTTGTAGGTCCAGAAACTCTGAATAAAATGTTATTTCTTCTGTTTGTACCACATGTGACAGATACTACTGGAGGATTACTCAGAAGCCGTTGTCTACCTTCTTCTCCTTGTCTACCTCCATGTAGATACTGGGAAAGCCAAATACTCATTTTACTAGAATTACTGGATCCTAAGTCATTCTAGTCAGTCTACCAGAGGAATTCTGGGAAAGATATTTTAAATTTTGGTGGAAAGTTATCAATCTTTACATATTCCTGTTTTCTCTCAACTCTGTATTTAGGGTTGAAATATGTCAATGTAATTTTAGGCATTATGACAGGCCATCATTAAATCCTTCAATATGCCCCCGTTCCTTTTTTAAAAAGGAACTTTTCCCCACAAGGTAAAAATAACATTACCCCTGACAAAATTAATCTTAATTTCTTAATATCAACTAATTATCCATTCCATATTCAGATATCACAATTATGCCTGAAATGTCTAAACTAGTTGGTTCAAAACCCGACCCAATCCAGGTCTGTGCATCCCATCTGATTGTATTCTCCCTTAAGTCTTCTTAAATGTAGAACAAAGAGTCCTTTATTTATGCTACTGCTTTGCTGAAGGGTTTGGGCCTGTTGTCCTTTAGAGTATCCTACCTTCTGGATTCTGTTTTCTCATGGTGTTTTAGCTTGCTTTTTTCTTCCCTGTTTTTCTCGTAGACTGGATGTTAAGTCCAAAGGTTTGATAAAATTCATGTTAAATACTTTTGGGGATTACATCATAGTAGATGGTATAATATCAATTTGTTCTACCATTATTGATGTTAAGATTAACTAGTAGATTAAAAGTGGCTTTATAACCCTTGTGAAGTTACATTTTTCCAGAAAGCACTCTGTGTAGTGTTACTTGGCCCCATACCAATATCCAGTCTCTTAATGATTTTAAAACCAGTAAATCCTTGTCTGCATCGGTTTCTTTGGGCATTATGAAATGATGATTTTTTTCTAATTCTGTCATTTCTTCTGCATTTATTAGCTGTCATTCTTCAGTAAAGTTGAGATTTCCATTATCACCTGAGGCTATTTCAGATTACAGTTCCTGGTGGAAAGTCAGAATATAAATTTAATTTTTAATCTTTAATTACCAATTTTCGGAGTAAGGAGGTAGGTAGCAACTTTTAGTGACAAATGAGTTTTTGGCATTCTCTTTGAGTATCATTATAGACTCTGATTCATAGATTGAACATAATTTGATCAATTACAGTCTTTATCTTGCTGGTCAGTCTTTTTCTTTTGGTGTCTTAAGAATTCTCCATACCAGGATTATAAACATTCTGTTGTGCTTTCTTCCAGTATTTTTTATTTGTTGTATGTTTTATGGTAAGTTTTTAGCCATCATGGATTAATTTTTGTACATGGTGTATGATGATCAATTTTTCTAATCCTCTGCCAATATTACACTGTTTATACTACTATAGGTTTAATAATATATTTTGATATATGTAGTCCACATTTACTTTCTTTGTTGTTACTAGTTTTCAGCTGTCTTTCCATTATTGATTTTATATATTATTATATGTTTGATGTTATATTTCTAGTTTTATCTCAGCTTAGTCACATTTATTAAGTTCTTTTTTTGGTAAATAAGTATAAATATGATCTGTATCTGCTGATATGAGGGAATGTCTATGATGTATAATTAAGTGGAAAAACCATGTGAAGAATAATGTGGACTATATATTCAGTTTTTATAACTATAGATTAGCAAAACCCAAAACAACTCCTGTATCTGTGTCTGGGTAAGCAAGAAAAAGGTACTTACCAGGTCGTTAATTTGGGTTATTACAGAAATGTGAAATTGGAGGAAGAGTGGGTTTCACTATTTTAAAAAATCATGAAATATATCATAAACATACATGAATAGTTTAAAGAAGAATAAAACGATGGGGTGACATGAGTGTCCTCAGCTGATCCCAGGTAGCAGGACATGGGGGGAAGAGGAGGAACTTCCATCAGCTCAAGGTCAAGACAGACCAAATACAGATAAAAACCAAAGCCAGGTTCACCTGGACATTCTGTCCTTAGGTTTAAAAAAGAAGGTAAGGTAACAGCAGGGAATTTTGCTGGTAGCCCTTTTGAGCAGTACGCTTGCAGTGTGGACTTGTTACCCTCTGCCTGACCCATGGTTATCATCCTGCTATCTTCTCTTATCATTCTCCTTGGGATTAACTTTGTCCCTCTGTATGCCACTACTCTTTCTTTAGACCTCTGGTTTTTATGTTTTTCTCTTGTGAGTATCCTTCATTATCTTACTGAGAATTGATACCTGGGAGGTAAAGATTTTGAAACCTTTCAGATGTCTGAAAAATCTACTCTCTTGCTTGAGTGACAATCTAGAATTCTACATCCACTTACTTTTGAAAGTATTTTCTATGACAAGAGTTTTATTAGGATGACTCTGTGTTTGACAATATATTTACTACCTGTTCATCTGTGTTCTTGTTTTAGACAGAATATTGTTGCGGGATGTAAAAGCTCTCACCCTCTACCATGACCGCTATACCACCTCTCGTAGGCTGGATCCGATCCCACAATTGAAATGTGTTGGAGGCACAGCTGGTTGTGATTCTTATACCCCCAAAGTCATACAATGTCAGAACAAAGGTTGGGATGGTTATGATGTACAGGTAATATTCATTATGTTGATGACAGTCTAACTGGAGTTTTTATTCAATAAAGTGTTTATTGGGATATTACTCAGTATTTTTGGGAAAGACATATAGAAAATCTCAAGTTAAATATATAAATATAAATTAGTTATTCATTTTCTGGAAGAACATCCTCCAAAAGAAATGAACTGATTTTAAAGCCTGGAAATAGGGGTGCCTGGGTGGCTCAGTCGGTTAAGCATCTGCCTTCAGCTCAGATCATGATCCCAGGGTCCTGGGATCGAGTCCCACATTGGGCTCCCTGCTCAGTGGGGGGCCTGCTTCTACCTCTCCCTCTGCCTCTCCCCCTGCCTGTGCTCTCCTGCTCTCTCTGTCAGATAAATAAATAAAATCTTTAAAAAAAATAAATAAAAATAAGGCCTGGAAATATTCGTTGTTATTTTCTTCTAACACATTAGTAAATTTTCAAAACTTTATATACTTGAGGGTAGGGGTAGAGGTTCTCTTCTCGTTGTCATTTTACTGTCACTCCTCAAAGAATACCAACCTGCCCTTGAGAAATAATGTTAACATGATCAGGAATCATAGGCTGTTAGGAAATGTAAAATGGTGCAGCTGCTTTGGAAAACTGCCTGGCTGTTCCTCAAAAGGTTAAACATAGAGTTACTATATGCCCCAGTCATTCCACTACTAGGTCTAGACCCAGGAGAATTAAAAATATATGTCCACACAAAAATTTGTACATAAATGTTTGTAGCAGCATTATTCATAATAGCCAAAAAGTAGAAACATCCTGAATGTCTATTATTGATGAATGAATAAACAAAATGTGGTATATCCATACAATGGAATATTATTTCGCCATAAAAAAGAATGAAGAACAGATACATGCTACAACATGTGTGAAAATATTATGCTAAGTCAAAGAAGTCAGTCACATGTTGTATGAAATGTTCAGGATAGGGAAATCCATAAAGGCAGTTGCCCAGGGCTGGGGGATTTGGGAGGAAGTGAATGACTGCTAATGGATATGAGATTTCTTTTTGAGGTGATGAAAATATGCTAAAATTGATTGTGGTGATGGTTGCACAACTGTGAATATACTAAAAACCATCAAAATGGGTGAATGTATGGTAGGTGAATCATATTTCAATAAAGCTGTTATAAAAAATAAAATAACATATGTGAAATTTGGGAGAGGAAGATAATTGGCCAAAAACTTACAGAAACGCAGAAGAACAAATCAGATCTATTTTAGCTTGTGTCTCTTTAAATGCTGTTAAAGAAGCATATTACCTATTTTGCTCAAAATATAGTTATGAAATTTAAACTCAGACTTTTTTAAAAAAGATTTTATTTTATTTATTTGAGAGAGCAAGAGCGAGAGAGCATGCATAGGTGGGGGGAGTGGACTTTTTTTTTAAGGTGGAAATTTTTGAGGCTAGCGTGAATTCTTTTTGCATTCTTCTAAATATCTTCAAAAAAATTTTTAAGAGATGGGGCGCCTGGCTGGCTCAGTCAGTGGAATATGTGATTCTTGATCTTGGGGTTGTGAGTTCAGGCCCCATGCTGGGTGTAGAGATTACTTTAAACGTTTTTTTAAGAGAATTACTTAGAGGATTGACCCTTGGAAGGTTAGTCCATAGTATTATAAAATTTGTGCAGAAAGTTTTTCTCAGAAGGTTATATACTATCTCTGATGCTACATGTAGTTACCAGATACTCCTGTATGATGCTGATGTTTGAGCCTTAACTTAAAAAAAAACCAACTCTATTTATATTATTTATTTTTAGAAGATTTATTTATTTTAGAGAAAGAGTGAGCACATGCTGTCATGGGGGATGGGTGGTAGGGCAGAGGGAGCGGGAGAGAGTCTTAGGCGGACTCTGTGCTGAGTGGCGGGGCTCCATCTCACCACCCCGACATCACGACCTGAGCTGAAACCAAGAGTCGGTCACTTAACTGACTCTGCCACCTCGGTGCCCCCCAAAACCTCTTATTTTTAAAACATCTTGAACAACGGTGGCAAAAAGTTGACATTTAAAAATTTTGCCTAACATTTACAGTTGTGGAATATTTAATATGTACAAAAGAATTGCTTACATGTGTATGTAAGGAATAAGGAATAGTAATAAAACAGACACTCAGGGACCTAGTACCTAGCTTTGAAGTCCCTGGGTTACCTTCCCCCAACACAGAAGTACTCATTGTTGTGAATTTTATCATTCCCTGACTTCATTTTGCAGTTTTATGACTCCCCAAATAGTACATATTAGATGAAAAACAATTTTTGATTCTAATAGCCTATTTCTATTTTTCTTCACAGTGGGAATGTAAGACCGATTTAGATATTGCGTATAAATTTGGAAAAACTGTGGTAAGCTGTGAAGGCTATGAATCCTCTGAAGACCAGTATATACTAAGAGGTTCCTGTGGCTTGGAGTATAACTTAGATTATACAGAACTTGGCCTGAAGAAATTGAAGGAGTCTGGAAAAAAACATGGCTTTAACTCTTTCTCTGATTATTATAATAAGCTGTACTCCCCAGATTCAAGTGGCATCAGTGGATTGATTACCATCATAGTACTACTTGCTATTGCTTTTGGAGTTTATAAATTGTTCCTTAGCGATGGTCAAGATTCTCCTCCACCATATTCTGAGTATCCTCCAAATTCCCATCATTATCAGAGATTCACCAACTCAGCAGGACCCCCTCCTGCAGGCTTTAAGTCTGAATTCACAGGTATGTTTCCCTAATGGCAATAAGTAGGGTAGATGCCAGGTAGTGAATCTTGTGCTGGTTTCTGAAATAGAATGTGGTCAGATTGGGAAACCAAAGCAGATTTGTCTTCTCATCTTATATTTTACTTTTTCAACTTCTTTACCTCTTATTCTATGTAAGGGTAATTGTGATTATTATTTGAAGGTGGCATGATTAAATTATAAATCACCTTAATCAGAAAAACTTGATCAGATTTGGTAATAAGCATTTACCTTGAACTCTCATATCATACACAAAAATTTATTCATTAAATATTATAGATTTCAGCATAAAAGGTAAAACAGGTTTCCAGAAAACATAGGAAGATATTTGTCATGATCATGCGGTAGGTAAAAATTTCTTAGACTATAAAATGTTCCAGCCATAAAGAACGGGTGGGTAAATTTGACTTTATTTAAATTAAGAATGTTTAGCCATCAAAAGACCACATTAACAGAGTGGAAAGGCAAGCCACAGACTGGGAGAAAATATTTGTAAAACGTTATTTCCAACACAGGGTATGTATCTAGAATATATCTGTATGTGCTGCCCAAGCGAGCCCTAGGATATATAAAGAACTCTCCCACAAATCTGAGGGAAGACACACAACCCAGTTTTTAAAATGGACAGAGACTTGAGCAGCCATTTTATAATAGAAGATATCCAGATGTCCAGTAACAGTATGAAAAGGTGCCTAGCATCATTAGTTTTCAGGAAAATGCAAATTAAAACCACACTGAGTTCATTATTAACCACTATATAACCACCATAACGGCTGACATTAAAAAGGGAGAGTACCAGGTAATGGTAAGGGTGTAGTCAACTGCAACTTGATGATAGGAGTTAAAATAGAAAACACTTTGAAAACTGTCACTGCCTCCCCTATGACCCAGCAGTTCCATTCCTCAATACATACCTAAGAGAAATGCATGCATTTGTACACAAAAAGACATGCACAGAGTATTTTTGCAGTTTTATTCATAACAGTAAAAAACTGGAAATAGAATGTACGTAAACATAAGAATGGGACAAATTGTGATTTTTTTCACACAATGGAATACACAATGGATCAGTTTAAAAAAACAAACCCAAAAACTGATACAATGCAATAATGGGGGTTGACTCTCATAGACACAATGATGTGCCGGACACGGAAGAGTACCTAGTGTGTGATTATGTTTACACAAAGTTCAGGAATGGGTAAAACTAAAGTATAGTGAGAGAAGTCAGGGTAATGCTTATCTCTGGTGTGGGTGGGTGTCTATTGGGAATTGTCACGAGGGAGCCTTCCGGGGTGCTAGAAATGTTTTACTGATGTGCGTAGTGGTTACATGCATGAGTACATATGTACAAATTTATTATGTTGTTTCATGTGAGATTAGCACACTTTCCTTTATGTGTGCTATACATCAATTAAAAAAAAAAAAAACTTCCTCTGAGCTGAAGATACTTTTTTGGTCTCTTTAAGATCTGACTTCCCAGTTGATACAAATCTTTGGCTGCTGCCTCCACTTGGATTCCTCCATTAGACACTCAAGTACAGCTATCACCTGAAGCTCTTACAGATGTTCATAATACAAAAGAAGGAACTCCCAGGGGGGTCATCTTCCAGTAGCTGATCCTGAGCAGGGCAGATGTGACTTTACAGGAGGGAACTAACCCCCCTTCTAAAATATATCTCTTTTTTTTCATGTCCGTGGGAAAGCTGCTCCTTAGTTATAAATCAGTATTTTATGAATACACTTTTTTAAAAAAGATTTATTTATTTCAGAGCGAGAGAGAGAGCGTGTGGTGGGGGTGGAGGAACGGAGGGAGAGGGAGAGAGCTTGAAGCAGACTCCCTGCTGAGCGGGGAGCCTGACGTGGGGCTCGATGCCACACCCTGAGATCATGACCCGGGCCGAAATCAAGAGTAGGACGCTCAGCCGACTGAGCCACCCAGGCGCCCCCCCCCCGCCCCCCCGCTTTTGTTAGTATACACTTTTTGAATACAACTTGTTTATGAGTCGAGGGTTGAGTATTAGTAATACATAGGACAAATGAAGTAATTGAAATGCCATATTATTTTTGGTTTTGTGGGCTGTTTTAAGTGAGGATACATAATAAATCATTTTTATTTCTAGGACCACACGGTGCAGCTTCTGGTTTCGGCAGTGCTTTCACAGGACAACAGGGATATGACAATTCAGGACCAGGGTTCTGGACTGGCTTGGGAACTGGAGGAATATTAGGATATTTGTTTGGCAGTAACAGGTAGGCTTTGCACTGATCTCCCTTGCCCTTTAATTCCACTTTTCTTTAGAGGCTTCTTTGTTTGCTTTGCAGTTTTATTGGATGTGGTGTTGTTAGGAAAATAAATTATGGTGACATTACCCTGTTAAATCAGATTCTCTGCTATGTGGGCTTTCATCAATATTGTATATGTTGTTTTCTTTCATTGTGTTTCTTCTTCCAGTGTCATCCTTATAGAGATCATGAGATAGGAAAAAGACTCTTTACTTAACATCTGAGAAAGTGAGAAGACAGGAAAGAACATGGCATTTGAGGAACAGTTAGCAGTCTGGTTTCATAGGAGAATGATGGAGAAGCAAGGCTGAAAAGGGCTTAGAGCCAGATTTTGGGATGTCTTCTTATTATTGGTAGTTTAATTTTAGATTTTATCTGAGTATGAGTTCTGCAAGAAAGAGTCTCTTCTTCCTGTCACTCTGCCCCCCATGGCAGTGACTATACAATATCAGAAATACAAAACAGTATTTATTTCATGTTATACCAGATCACTGAGGAAAAACACTTGATAAAGGTATTTTTTTTCTGAGAGCATAGGAATAGGAGGATATTTAAAAGTCATAAGAAAAATGCCTGATATGCTTTTATGTCTTTAATAGAGCAGCAACACCCTTTTCAGACTCGTGGTACTACCCGTCTCCTTCATACTCTAGCACATGGAATAGTCGTGCTTACTCACCCCTTCGTGGAGCCTCAGGTAGCTATTCAGCATATTCAAGCTCAGAGACAAGAACCAGAACAGCATCAGGTAAGAATGAAAGCATAGAAGTTCCTATTACGTAGCAGTGAAGTACAGAAATAGTTTTGGAACTTAAGAAGATAGTTATTAACTATATATTAGCAATCATAATTTTATTTGGCATACCCATCAGAAATATTAATAGCATAATTAACTCAGATTAAAATGTAGTTCAGATTCATTCTTTTCTCAACATTCTTTAAAAATCAAACAGGGATTTGGTTTAGACTCACTTCTACCACTAACCAGGGTTTTACCTTAAACCTTCCTAAACATTGGTTTCACCATACGTTTAATTCTGTGACCTCTAGGCTTCTTTTAAGCTTATTTAAAATGGAATTTTCTAGGTAGAAGTTTGAACTTTTAAAATTCAGTAAAACTCAGTAAATAACTCAGTAAATCCATACTTTAAATAATTGTCAAAAATATGGTGGTTATGTTTATTGCTATTGTTAAGAGGAAATTTTGTAAAAAGCAAAGATATAATATAAAAAATTAAAAAGCTATTTGTTTTAAAACATCCAGCTAATTAGCAGAGGATGGGAGGACATGGATAATGAAGTAGTAATAGATTGCTGTGGATTGGATTCGTCTTCTTCAGCAGGGGGAAGTTATGGAACAGAGGTTAATTCTTGATATTGACAGAAGACTTGTTTAAATATGTTTTGAAAAAAAAAAATATGTTTTGAAGTGTAAGAGTGAATTTCTCATAGTACTGGTGTGAATATAAATTGACATGATCCCTTTGCAAGATTGGCATTACCGACTAAAATTAAGCACAAACATCTTCAAGACCCAGCAATTTCACTCTCAAGATATACAGCAACAGAAATGCATATACTTGTACACTGAAAGATAAGTACAAGAACGTTCATGGCATCTTTATTCCTAATAGCCTCCAACTGGAAAAAACCATGTATCCAGCAGTAGTAAACGAGATGAATAAATTGAGTTACGGCCATACAGTGCAATGCTGTGCAACAGAGAGAGAGAATAAACAGCTGTATGCAATAATGTGGGTAGATCTACCAAGTATAAAAAGAAAAGAAAGAAGCCAGACACAAAGGAATATATATAAATATGATTACAACATTCATATTTTATAAATACGCATGTTTAAAAACAAGCAAAGCTAACCTGTGGTGTTAGATGTAAGGTGGTGGTTACTTTTTGGGAGGAAGAGGGGAGGTGGTGATTGGGAGGATATATAAAAATATAGCTACGTAGGACATAACACAACAGGAAAACTCATTCTCAGTGGAAACAAAAATTGTAAAAAAACCCATAAATATCGACTAGAAATCTTTGGGACTTAAATGAAGAAAATCATTAAATGTTACCGAATAACCTAAAGGAAAACCTGATGGGAACACTTGTCATCTTGTAAACTATTAGTGCATTTTCGTGTGTGTGTGTGTGTGTGTGGAGGGGGAGGTTGACTGAGTAACATTTACCATTGAAAGCCTGAAACTTGCTCCTGCAGTAGTTTTGTTGCCGCTGGAGTTGCGACAGGTAGCAGGGCATGGCTGGCTCCATTGGCCTCTCTGCTTTTTGGCTTAGACTTTGAGTATTGCACGTACCACATTGGCCCCACCATAGAACACGTGTTCTTTGGTTTCCTGACTACAAGTGATTCCTAAGCAGCATGTCTGAGTCTAGTCAACTTGATGCCTGGGTGACGGGGAGGGCTGTTGTGGGTGGCGAAGCACTGTCTTCCTCCTTCCCTCGTGTCTCTTTATTCATTTGTTAACAATAAACGTGTTCCTGTTGTAGTTTTATAAGCAATGCCAGTGCATCTTTAAAAGCCAATATAAATTTTACTCTTCTCCTTTTAGGATATGGTGGTACCAGAAGACGATAAGAGACTAAAAAGTTGAAGTCAAACACTGGATGCAAAATTTCTGATTTTAAAGTACTGGTGTGAATTAAAAAAAAAAAAAAAGTGCTACCTGCTAACAACTGGGGAATATGTAAAAGCTGTGTGGTTTTTTTGGTCCTGTATTGCTTTTTGTGCTCTATTACTTGAGACTAACAGTTGATCTATGAGAAAATGCTTCTGTAGAGAATTGTATGTTAGTGTAATGTGCAGTTGTGTTTTACAGTTTCTGAAAGTGATGATTACTGTGAAAAGCTGAAAGTGCGTTAATTTCTAAAACCTATGACGTCATTAAGAATGAAGGCTTTATGACCATTAGACACTGGGTACAGAAAATGTCAATCTTATGTGGTTTTAGTTGATGAGTCATTACCTTATAAAAACGATAATAATCTATTTGGCATTTACTGTGTTGTGTTTACTGTTCTTCAAACATTTAAACCAAGCTTTGGACTACCAATTGTACTTATCTGTATGTTCTGATCACTTTTGAGCTCATGAGCTTTGAATCCTTCAGTGGCGGTGGGGTTCAATTAAGTGAGAATGACCTTTTTTGGGAAAAGATAGAAAATATCTAGAAAGTTGTTGCGAATGATTTCTGTGCTGACAAAGATGGCTTGAAACCTCCATATTCATTTCTTAAGTAAGGTTTAAATGCTTCAGCAAAGGTGTTTTACTAGCAAAAGCATGCAATTCTCTGTGGGATCTCCAGTGTTGTTGTAGCAATCTGTTTCAATCTTACATTAAAATGACAGGAAAAATAAAAACAAGGGGTTTCATTCTTATTCTTTCTACCAGCTTTGACACAAATTGGTGTTACTTTTTTGACCCTTTTTCCCAAAGGACAAGGGGTGCATGCAGAAGCTCTGTCTCCCTAATTTCCCATGGTAGTTGCCTTAGCTACCAGTCTCTTGGTAATTGTTTTCAAAAAAGTAATTCAGAAATGGTGTGGAAGGAAGCCTCTGCTAAAAAATGGCTTTAAAAAAAAAATAATGAAATCTCCAAGCCTCCCAACTCTCAAAGATTGCACCATCTGTCTTAGTTAAGCTCTGCAACCTGAGAGTCTCATTTTTACCTTTTAGGAATCATTTAAAAACAAACCTTTGTTTATTCTTTAAAAATGTGATTTAGGGACTAGTTGAAGGAATATTGTGAACACAGCTCCCCTTTTCTCTCATCAGTAAAACTTGGTAGAAAATTTATGTCACAGAGGAGAGTTTTTCTTTAATATGTTGCACTACATCCTTACCCCATTTCTCCTTAGTAAAAGGAGATGGAATAAAAGAAAATCCAGTTTATTGCCTTTTCCCCCATCTGCTTAGTGTTTTGGGTTTTAATTTACTTTTTGCTATAGGAGTTGATAATCTTGAACTGAGTATGTTTTACCTGGAGAGCAAAGTAAAAAAAAAAATAGTTAATTTAAAACTGCTGTAGATAGTGCCAGTGATAGTGATCTGCATATAAAATTTGCTGTTCTTTTTTTAATGAAGTGATTTTTTTTTTTAAATTGAAGTATAGTTGCCACACAATGTTAACATTAGTTTCAGGTCCGATTTCTGTTTTTGAATGCATTATTTCAGGTCATTGGAATTTTAAGAAAATAATGAGTGAATATAGAGTTGACTATACTGGTGGCTTTAGATTACTCTCAGGAGCACTAGGGGTGTTCTTTGAGGCTCTTTGAAAGACTGCCTGGAGGGAAGGAAGGGAAAGAAACTGGCGCATAAGGCTCAAGATCCTCTGCCCCCAACCTCCACTAGGGTGCTCCTCCTCTGTTGTTGTAGGTTTACATTTCCTTGTTATTTGTGGAAAAGATTCTGAGGTATCATCTTCAAAATCTAAGACTCAGAAGGACAGTACAACTGGGTCTTATTAGTGGGGTGATGGCCCCCAAAAGGGGATGGCACCAGGGGAAATTAGGTCCTGAAGTTGGGAGGTTCGTGGACCTGGCTGGGTGGGCGTGAAAAGGAGAAAGGAGAGGTGAGAGGGGCCTTTATAGTTTTACTCACATGAGGGTTCAGCAGAACTTCAGATGTTAGGATGGGATTGCTGGTAATTTAACCAGTTAGGTGTGTTTTTGTAGTTTCATGAATGCTTCTCTCTGAAGCTCCTTGATCTCTTGGATTCTGACCCCTGTCCTCCAAGACTGGCTCAAGTTTATCTACTGTTTTTCCATAACACATTGTACACACTTTTACTGTTGTTCTTAGTACATTCCGCTGTAATTATTTCTTAAGTGTAGATCTTTCTTACGACTCTGAGCTCTTTAGAGAAGGAGGCCAAATATTACTTCTTCCTGCCCCTTGCAGCTAGGGCATGGTCATGTGACTGAATTCTGCCAATATTTCTGTCAGATGTTCCCTCCAGGTCTATGGAGACAATGGCACAAAGACCTCAGGACAGTTAAGAGATTATTCCCAGCAGTGATAGAGTAGTCAAAGATTTAGCTGAGGTATTGGTGAGTGTCTGGTGGTACTTCCTAGGGAGACATATTAACAGGATGATTGCTGTGGTATGTGTTGGCTGGTTCTGGGTTTTCTGGATTATTTTTTCTAATCTGATTAAATTAAAAGACACTAATGACTGTTGGCCAGTGGTAAAGAGGATACTGGTAGTCCATGGTGTGTTGTGGCAATGGAGATAGACAAAGTACCACATTTTGATAACATGAAAAGCAAGATTCTGGGTGACCATGCATATGATAACTTAGAACACTTTATATTTTTATTTAAATTTTATTTAACATACAGTGCAATATTGGTTTCTGGAGTAGAATTCAGTGATTCATCATTTACAACACCCAGTGCTCATCACAACAAATGCCCTCTTTAATACCCATCACCCATGTAGCCCATCCCACCACCCTCCATCAACCCTCAGTTTGTTCTCTATCTTTAGGTCTCTTATGGCTGGTTTCTCTCTTTCCTTCCCTCCCCCACCCCCCTTCCTGTATGTTCATCTGTTTTCTTTCTTAAATTCCACATAAAACTGAGATCATATGGTATTTGTCTTTCTCTGATTGACTTATTTCACTTAGCATAGTATACTTTAGTTCCATCTACGTTGTTGCCAATGGCAAGATTTCATTTTTTGATGGCTGAGTAATATTCCATTGTATATATATACACACCACATTAAAAAAAATTATTTATTTTAGAGAGAGAGAAAGCATGAGCAGGGGGAGAGGGACAAGCAGACCCCCTGCTGAGCACAGAACCCAATGTGGGGCTCAATCCCATGACCCTGAGATCACGACCTGAGCCAAAATCAAGAGTCAGGTGATTAACTGACTGAGCCACCCAGGTGCCCCCAATATACCACATCTTCTTTATCCATTCATTGGTCAATGGACATTTGGGCTCTTTTTCCATAGTTTGGTTATTGTTGATAATGCTGCTATAAACATCGGGGTGCATGTACCCCTTCGAATCTGACCTTATTACATTTTAGTCAAATGAGTGTAATGGTTGCTCCTGAGATGGACAAAGTAGAAAAAAGAATAGGATGAGTTCAGTGCTTCAAATTCCCAGCTGAAGCTTCACATTAATGACCTGAAAGCCTTTTAAATTTTCTCTGAAAGAAACCCTTAACCTCCTTAGCCACAGGACTGAGACTTCTGAAAACCAAACCCAGTCTTATCCCATAAGTGGCTGAATTACAACACAAATGAATTTCCAACCTCAAGCAGTGTCTACTGTTAAAGTGGGGGCATTGAGTGGGAAAGAATGGGAACCTAAAAAGTGGAATGGGGACATATGGGAAGATCCCAATAAAGTTCGGGCCATCACATCCCTAAGTTCTGCTGAGTCTTTCTTGCCAGTAGAAGTAGCCCTTCCACCCCTGAGAATGTTAATCCGACTTTGCCTGAAACACCTGTTATGATCTCTCTTGAGGTGTTCCTTGCAAGGCATTACTGATTCTCCTCACCACCCTACTTTGCTTCTTCAACTGTACATAGACTCATGTCCCCGCAGGTACCAAAGTGTGAAGTACAAAGTTTAACCCACGAGGTGCGTTGCATACCAAAAGAACGGCATAATTTTTCAAATCTATACAGATAGGAATCTGGGGACTATGTGGGAATGGATCTTAAGGGTGTAAGATGATTGTGGAAAAATAGGAAGTTGAGTCAGGCCAAATTTATTGATATGGGCCCACTAAGCAAATTCTGGATTCAGTATCTTAGCTCCAGGGATTTGAAAGGGCTCTAACAGTTTGGTTAGTTGGCTGACCATGGACTCAAAGGTGGCCCACACTAAAGTCAGAATGCCACAACTGCCTTGGAGGGTATATTGTAGAGGAAGGGATCCAAAAGCTTAATGGGATTGGAATGTTGGGGTGGATTTATCATGTCAGACCTACTCACCCACTCTGGGAGAGTCCAGAGGAAGGCACCTTTCAGAATTTAACTTTCAGAAATAAATTTGGGTGTGGGGCCCCAGCATCCTTGAGCTCAGTGGTTGCTCTTTGTAGGTCAGAAAATACAGTGGGGACTGCTTCCATCAAACTGGGATCCCTAAATGAAGTGAGGTTAATGCGATCCCGGGGTAGCAGGGGCTAAGTGGTGACACTTGGTTGCCAAAGACAACATGGCCTGGTTACAGTAATAAACAGAGTAACAGAGTTATCTAACTCACAGAGATTTAGGGCATTGGTGTTGATTATGGTGTACCTAGAGAAGAAATAGGTGGGCAGTCTACCAAATTCTTGCTTGATCTGTGTAAGTGGAAGAGTTCTAGGCTGAGTGAACAGAAGCCTAACTCTACCACACTGCCAAAATGTATATTGTTAATCTTTTCCCCAACCTTCCACCAAAGGACCTATGGCTACTTACTAGGGAGACTGTGCACCGTGGAAAGGGAAATAATCAGGTATTTTGGGGATTACTGGACACTGTCTCTGAGTTGACACTAATTCGAGGAGGTCCAAAATGCTACTGTGGTCACCCACCAGAGCAGGTAATTAATGGAGTTTTAGCTTAGATCTCTCAGTGTGAGTCCAGTGGGTCCCCAAGTGTGTCCTGTGACCATTTCCCCAACTCTGGAATACACAGTAGCTACCAGAATCTCCACATCGATTCCCTGACCTGGAGAGTGAGGAATGTTATTGTAAGAAAGACCCAAATGGAAGTTAATAGAACTGCCTCTACCTCCAAAATGGAAAACCAAAGGTGTGCAATATGGACACTGGATTAAAGGGCCCGAGAGGGTTTGTGGGGACCCTAGTGGGAAGGAAAAACATCTGAGAAATGATAGTGGCTAGGAATAGAGTGGGAATGGGGAGATGAAATGGAGGGACACAGAAAGCTAGAAAAATGCATTTAACGTGTGTTATGAGTGGAATTGTGTCTCCCCAAATTTCATATGTTGAAACCCTAACCCCCAGTACCTCAGAACGTGACCTTAATTGGAAATAGTGTTGTTGCAGATGTAGTTAGTTAAATTAAAATGAGGTTCTACTGGATTAGGTGAGCCCCTAATCTAACATGACCACGTCATCATAAAAAGGAGAAATGTGGACACAGAATCGTGCACCCAGGGAGACTCCAGTGGAGACTGGAGTCGTGATGCCATAGGCCAAGGAACACCAGAGATTGCCACCAAAGCACCAGAAGCGAGGAGGGAAGCCAAAGAATGACTCTTCCTCACACTTGTGGAGACGGCTTGGCCCTGCCAACCCCTTGATCTCAGGCCCGTAGCCTTGAGAACTGTGAAACAAATTCCTATTGTTCAAGAAAAAAACAAAAAAAAAACCAAAGACATACGGC